CCGGTGCCAGCTCCACACCAGGCACTGTGTGAGTTCTTCACGGAGAATGTCAGTGGAAAGAAGGCCGAGCAAGAACAGCGTGCCGGTTGCTGCTTGCAAGGCCTCGTGGCAGCCAATCATTCCGAGACTATCTCAGCGGTCAAGATGTTTAGGCAAAGAAGCATGGAACTATGGGAAGCTAGGGACCATGCCCTCTAGGGGAAGCCGGGGAAGGCTTCTGTCAAGGTGGGTGCATGTCAGGTGACGGAAGATTGGAAAGATCCTGCCAACCACCCAACCCTGTCCCTCCCCTGCTTGTGGGAAATTTTGCTGCCTCCTAAGATGGTGTCTTTTCCTCTTCCTCCTGCTCTTCAGTCCCCCACCAATCCCCGCTCTTTCACGTCAGTTTCTGGTTCCAGGCTAAGCCAAGGACATATCCTGTCTCTGCCTGTTTTCCCACACAGGCAGTGGAAACCCTTGGCTATAGTAGCCGCTTTCATTATTCGAAGAATGTAGCGCACAGCTAGCCCATGCAGTGCCTTCACTCACAGTATCAAAAAGCACCCCCTCGGGGCAGATGGAGCCCACGAGACCCATTACCAAACCTATTCGCTCACTTGGAAGCATACCTTTGTGATGAGAACAAACTGCCCAATTGTCCAGTGCAGTCCTGAATAATAATTAACAACGAAAGGGGGAGAGAGAGGGGGGGGGGCTCTGAGGCAGGGAAAAGATTTGGAATCAATTGGAAACCAGGAGAAGCTGTTCCTACCACTTTGGAGGGGCAAGCCACGACTGTAGCCACTGTTCCAAAGGTTCCCAGCTCCCGTTCCACAAGTCAGAGTGTTAGCTTGTATCTGCCTTCCCAACCTCTCATGGTCCCTCCTTCCCTACAGAACCTTGTAGAGACGCTTGAGCTCTTTCTGTCTTAAAGATGCTGATAAGCACTCTAAGCTGTGAATACATACAGTGTAGTTACAGACACCTCTGAGGCTCCAAAAAGCCCGGCTCCTCTTCTAAGCCATACAAGGAGATGACAGCCTGGCCCCAGACAGAACAACTTGAGAACATTTACTAAAGATACTGAGGACTGCATGCTATAAATCAAACCAGCCAAACCCCTTCATGGAAAGGAGAGGACAAGGAATAAATAGGTAGATGACTGATCCCCAGACGGGTGGGGCTCCTTTGGGGAATGTTCTGGACAAGCTCTATTTTCCTGGTGTCAGCTGGTCCCCTCCAGGCCCAACCAGCTTTCCCATCTCTGTCCTCAAACCCTTTCAGGAAGCAAGGCCTATAGGCCTGGGTTCATCTTGACCAAAGATCTACAAAGATGTGCTTGTTCCTCTGTCTCGGCAGCCATGAGCAAATCAAGCAAGAAGCTAAATCTGTGAGACTGAGAAGGGCCCGAGGTAAGGAAAGGACACTGAGGCAGCTCATGCCATGAGATTCGTCACAGATGCTGACCTCTCCACACACAGGCAAGGCCTTGGAAAAACCCTGCCACCAGGCTGGTCTGCGGCCAACTCTGAAGTCAGCCTTCTTCATCAGACCGGGAGTTCCCTCCCACACAGCACCAGGATGCCCTCCCACATCTGGCTGGCGATCCTCGGGTAGTGGCTGCACCTCACGGTCCGGTGGAGAGTCACACAATGGGTAGGGGGCTGCTCCACCACCAGATCGAAGCTTTCAGATGGCAGTCTTGCTTTTTCCTCATTAGGTTGGGAGCACACCTAGAAACAGTAACAGAACTGAGCATGATTACACACGTCTGTAATCCCAGCACTCAGGAGGCGGGAAGGTTGTGAGTTCAAGGCTAGTCTGAGCTATGTATCAAAAAAAAAAAAAAAAAAAGAAAGTATCAAAAAAGTGATCACTTCCTATTCAGTGTTAGCTATATGTTTCCTCCTCCTCTTCCTCTCCCTCCTCCTCCCCCTCCCCTGTTTCTTTTCTTCTTTTGGGACCAGGTCTTACGTAGTTCAAGCTGGCCTTGAATTTATGGCAGTCTTTCTGTCTCAGCTCTCAAGTTCTGGGATTATAGAAAATACCACTAGTTTGGATGGTCAAACCCAGAACCTCGTGTATGCTAGGCTAGCACTCTGCCAACCGAACTACACCCTCGGCTTCTGAAATATCTTTAAAATATTTATTTTCTTCTTGAATTATGTGTATATGTGCAGGTGGGGATGTCCACATGAGTGCAGTGCCCTCCGAGGCGTCACATCTCCGGAATCACGGTTACAGGTAGCCGTGAGCTGCCTAGTGTAGGTGCTGGGAACAAAGCTCCAGTTCCCTGCAAAAGGGGTACATGCTTTAACTGATGAGCCATCTTCCCAGCCCAAACTGAGTTGTTTGTTTATGTGTCTGTGTGTGTGGTGGTGGGGGTTACTCATGCCGAAGCACACACAGCGTACTTGTGGAGCTCAGAGGACAACTTTGTAGTTGATTCTCTTGTCTACTGTGGAGGTCCAGGGATGAGGTCTGACCTCAGGTTGTCAGGCTGGATGACAAGTACCCTTCCTCACTGAGCCATTTCTCTGGCCCGACACTTCTTTCTTTTCCTTTTCTTTTTTATCAGTTAGCTTTAGGAAAGTCAGCATGGCCCTCACTTTCCACACGAGACTGACAGAGGAGACTGGCTGACTTGCTCAGGTCCACACTGCTAGATGGTGGAGGGAGGCTTTTCTGTCGGACTGAGAACCACATGAGGCAGGATTGTGTCTTCCTTTGTCCGCTTCATCAGAACAGGGGCCACAAGGGGCCACGACTGGGCATGCCTTTTCTGTCTGTCCCAACCCCCCCTGCCAGGAGCAGACCAGACCTTATTAGGTGCTGTGCCTGGAGCCTGGGCCGGGGCCAGGGCGTTGGCAGGCCCACTTGGACATGTTTTCTGTTCTTCATGCTCTGAGTTGGTCCCCCATAGTTATGCCCACGGGGCAGAGAAGAGCTTGGTCTTTTGGAGATGGGATTTCTGTGGAATAAGTGTCAGGATGTCAGTATTTTCTCAGGTCTCTAAGTGTTTGGCCCCTATCACAGGGAACACGCTTTCCAGACAGGGCTGGCGCCGTCCAGTGAACTGGGCATTTCCTTCTGTCCACAGCCCACCTCACTCCTGGCTGCAAAGGCCGCCAGGAGTTTCTGGAGCCTAGCAACTCTCAGGAAACAATGGAAACTTGGTTTTGTAGTCTCCTCCCTCTATCATTACTCAAAGGGTTTTCCTCAAAGCTACACACACACACATACTCCAGTTATTTTTCTCTCCACCCATTAGCCTGGGGCTGCCTGGAAATTTTCAGTCAGAAAAGGGGCCCTGGGTAGGTGGTAGAGACACTCCCAGGCTCCAGGCTGGTGTGGCTGTCCATGGGCTGTGGCAGAAGTACAACAATACCACGATTTACCAACAACACCTGAGATACAGTCTGTGGCACAGCCTGTCTGTATATTAACCTGGGTCTGAGAGCTGGTGTGTCTCTGGCAATGATCTCTGTGAATCAGGGTGAGTCTATGAACGATTCAAATTGTCCTGTGGTATAGGGGTAGAAGGGCCATCTTGTTCAGTATCAAGCACCCACTCAAAGACTGGGATGAATGTATGAGAAAAATGTAGAATATACAGGCTGGTGAGTGTGTGAAAAAAAAAAAAGCCCTAGTGTAAAATGTGTGAAGAACCAGTGTGTGAAAACATAGGTATGGTCCAGAGAGATGACTCAGTGGGTACTGATACTTGCCACCAAGCTTGATTAGCTATCTGAGTTGGATCCCCTGAACCTACACGGTAGGAGAACCATCAGTTCCCAAAACTCTTCTGACCTCCACACGGGCACTGTGGCATGTATGTAGGAACACACACATACACAAACAAACATGTATACAAACAAACGTTTAATAATAAAAAAAAAAAGATGCTTCATAGATTGCTTGTTGGAATACTTGAGTCTGTAGAAACATAAATAAAAATGTAAACATAAACGTGAAGTCCGTGTGAGCAGCTGAGTGTGTGCGAGTGTTGAGAAGTCTTGCAAGTGCTCCTGAGCCCCAAGGATTGTTAGTAAAAGTGCATGCGATGTGCAAGTGACAGGGGATGGGGGACGGCTCGGGGCTACAGAGCACTTGCCCCGCGGTCCAAAACCTCATTGTTCCGAAGCAACAGGATTGACTTGTAACGAAGTTAAACTAAGCTGAAGCAGAAGCTCCGCGACGTACACTTATAACATTGTGAGTGTGAAACTCTGTAAAAGTTGCGTGCATGTGGGACCCCCTCGAAAGCTGTTTGCTGTGGACTCTGTGTAGAGCACGTGGTGCGACAAGCGGTGTGTGCAGAGGTCTGGATGCCCTACCGGGTTGCGTCCAAGTCTTATCCCACACTCCAGGCCACGTCTGGCGTGGAGCCGGTTGGGCCTAAGCGCACACCGAAGAGGATTGGGGCCCAGACAAAGGCACAGTGCGCCGCGCCGCTGCTCCAGGGAGCCTAGCTAACGGCCTGGAGGCGGAGGCCTACTCTGAGGGGGCGGGGCCTGGTCTTGTGGGGGCGTGGCGGGAGTCACGGGGGCGGGACCTAGAGGGCCAGGACAGAAGGCCTCGGGGGCGGAGCCTAGCCTTAAGAGGCGTGGCTAGAGGCTTGGAGGTGGGGTTTAGGGCTCCTGAACTTGGCGCCTCGGGGGCGGAGCCGGAGACCCGGGGGCGGGGAGTGTGCGGGAGGGCGGGGACGGGGGGTGGGGGGGGGGAGGCGAGCAGTCCGAAGGACTCCGCAGGACAGCGAGCGGTTGGCTGCGGGCGGCGCCGAGCGAGCCATCGAACGAGGCCGGGCCATGGGGCAGCGGGCAGTGGGCGCGCTGCTGCTGGGGTTGCTGCTGCACGCGCGGCTGCTCGCGGTGAGTGTGCGTGGCCAAGGGCCGTGGGCGGGGGGCGCGCGCCAACTTGGCGGGGACACCGGCGGCTGCTCGGCTGGGACTCTGGCCCGGGACGGCCGCGCCCGCGCAGGACCCTGGGCTGGCACTGGCCAGCGCCACCCAGCAGCGTGGGGCTTTCCCTAGGGGACGCCCCAGGGACCCAGCGTGGAGGTCAGGGGCCGTCCCTGCAAGCTTGGAAACCCGAGGGTCTCCGGCCACGTTGTTCAGGCTCAGAGTCGCCGCTGGGCATGACTCGGCCTGCCGTTCTCGGGGCCCTGACGGAGAAACTTCTAGCAGGGTGGGAACTTGGCAGGACAAGGGTACCCCTTTCTGCTGCCAACTTGGCAGAAGAGGCACTCCGCGGTGATGGGGACCCTGTCAGTTTTCGCTGGAACTTTACCATGCTGTCCTCTGGGGAGACTATAATCAGGCAGTCATAAGTAAAAACTAGGAACAAAACTGACGCTTGTGTGGAGCACCCCTGCACCTTGGAGTCCTCCAAGCCCTGAGCTAAATCAATCACTGCCTTGCACTGACTCTGTAACACCTGGAGAGAGCTGGTTAACCTCCCGGAGGTAGTCCCACGTGAGTAAAGGGAACTCAGAATGGGAAGCCTCAGGGCAGTTGGGCCTGGATGGAATGGGTGCCGGGTGCAGCGCCTGTTATGAGTGGGCCCAGGAGCAGCTGGATTTCCCTACCCTTCTTCCCGGGTCTCCGAAGTGGGATGCTGTGTGGCCCCACAGTTCAGCCCTGAGCTCACCTGGGGCCACAAGGAGGAGAAGGGAACTCTTGAGTCAGGAATCCTAAGACCTAGAAGGCACTTGGCAGGAGAGGTCCAGAGGACCTGAGTGACCTCAAGGAGGGCTGGGAGGAGTTTGGACCGGCAGAGGGTGGAAGATGCGGGTGGGGTACATCTGGACCTGCTGTGGTGAGCCACAGCGCCCAAGGTGCTCCTAGACAGTCTCCATCCCTGTCCCCTGGTGTCAGGGCCAAGAGGGTGACTTTTCCAACTGGGCCAGTATTTACCCAGTGACTGATTCTCTGTCCTTGCCGGGCTGGCTTTCTCTCACCTCTGCCCTCCTGAGTCACTCCTTAACCTCCCACCAGGCCCGACCCCCCCTTACTGTTTCTGCCCCACCCTAACAGCACCTCTCTTCCCCACCCTCCATCGGAGCAGCCTTCTTCCTTAATCTTCTGGCTGGCCTCTCACCCCAACCCTACCGAGCAGGCCACTACAGTTGGCTCCCCATTCAGCCTGAACTTGGAGCTCCTAAAACTGACTTGTCCCTTCTCCAAGGCAATGACCTAGACCTGGAGTGCTATCTTTCCCTGGCCTCCCCTCAGCTCTGCCCCCTGTGGAGGGCTCCCCAGAGCGAGGGCCCCCGCACAATGGCAGGAGTGGTGGGTGGGACTGTTTGCTGAGGGCCTGAGGAATTCTACTGAAATTCCCTGACTGCCACCATTGCCCCATTCACTTGTTCATTCACCAAATCTTAATTGAGCGGCATTCTATGACCGTCACTGGGAGTCCCCCAGGCTCATTCACTGGGAAGATACTTTCTGCACCGCTATTGTGTGCTGGCCCATGGTGGCTTGAGGTGGTCTGGGTGGGCCGGGGTGCACCTTTCCATGCCTTCTAGGACTCATTCAAAGGAGACAGCAGGCAGCCCTCGAGTGCTAGAATTACAGATGTTGCAGGCAGTCACGTAAAAGTCGTCACTGATCCACCCCCCCATCCCCCCCCCACCCCCGCCAAGCTCAGAGTTGGGTCCCTCTCCCACAAAGAGCTTAGCCTCAAGGGTCTTATGGACCCAGTTTTAGTCCAAGCTTGCCAAGTCTGAGTGTCCACATGTGTGAAATGGGTGCAGCTTCAGTAAGATCAGTTTTTAGTCCTGGGTCCCAGCAAGCCTGGCTCGCTGCTGCTCTTGATTCCTTCCTCCCTTCAATTGGATTCTCGGCAGAATCATCGGGTGGGGGAGGGCAGCCTGCTCTGGAGTCTTCACTGGAGGCAGGGACAGTGGTCTGTGATTATGCGGGGGAGTAATTTCTGTTCTGGGGAGAGGATGGGACCAGGCCTGGCTGACTCAGGACCTGCCCTGGCCTGTTGACCCTTTCCTTCCGACTTCAGTCTTAGCCCTTCCTTTCTTGGGCCCACCCCCACTGTTGATAGGAGTCCTGAGAGTGACAGGAGGGAAGACCGTGTTTTCCAGGCTGAGGAGGGAAGTGGCTGAAATACCTGCTTCCTGCCTCCCTTGGATTTCCTCGCAGGGAAGGCTGCTCAAGGGAGCTGGGGAATTTCTCCTTCCTGGAGTGACTTCAGCCCTTCCCTCCGCACAGCTGGCTGCCCTGTCCCCCAGCTGTTCCCATTACCCTCTTTGTTCCAGACCTGTGCCAGGCAAAGGGGCAGAACTGAGAGAGTGCATGCATCAGACTGCAGGACCATCCTCAGAGTCTGGGCAGAGGCGGGACTTTAGGGATCTTTAGAGGTGTGGTTCCCCACCCCCCACCCCCATCTCCTAGGTTGAACTCCGGGTGTCTGAGGAGTCGTCTGGGCCTTGCTTGGCTTGGCCCAGGCCTGTTCTCAGGATGAGCAGAGGCAAGTTAAGATCTGTGGGCTTGAGTCTCTGTCTGGGAGAAGGTTAACAAAAAGGTGCTTGAATGCAAGTAGGTGCTTCAGGATTTGGAAGACAGTAAGCGTCGCCGGGTAGGGAGATCTTGGGGTGCAGGCCAGGCAGTGGCAAAGTGCTGTAGATGGGTCACATGTATTCGGTGTCTGTAGACTGAGGGACACTAAATTTGTCAGCAGATCCCCACATTGCTTCTGCTGTTCTCTGCTCACCACGCCCCCTCCTCCCCTCCTTAGAGAATTAGAACCTCACCCCACAGGGCCCTGCTCCCTCTGGGACTCTGCTGTCTACTCTCCTCTCTTGTGCTTTGTTTACTAAGTTTCTGTTTTGTTTTGGGTTTTCACTTGCTAGTTTTTTCTTTCTTTCTTTTTCTTTTCTTTTTTTTTTTGGTTTTTCGAGACAGGGTTTCTCTGTGTAGTTTTGAGCCTTTCCTGGATCTCGCTCTGTAGACCAGGCTGGCCTCGAACTCACAGAGATCCGCCTGCCTCTGCCTCCCGAGTGCTGGGATGAAAGGCGTGCGCCACCACCGCCCGGCAGTTTTTTTCTTTTTGAAAACATCTTAAAATTCTTTTGCTCTTCATATGTGTATATAATTGTATTTTGGTCATTTTGTCTCCCTGTTATTTTCTCTCACCCTCCTCCCCCACTTTTTGAGGGTATGTTTTAGACAGTTTCATGCATCCCAGGCTTGCTTGCCTCAAACTGACTATGTCAAGGATGACCCTGAACTCCTGATCCTCCCGCCTTCTCCTCTAAGTGCTGGGATTACAGGCTTGAGCCACCAGGCCTGGCTAAGTTTCTTGAACATGCCCAACACACTCCTACCCCAGGGCCTTTGCATCTGCTTTTCCCTTAGCTTGGGACATACGTCCCTGAATCCACAGGACTCTCTGCCTCCTTTCAAGTCCTGATAATTCTGCCCTGTCCCTCCTAGCCCAAACTCACCCATCCCCCACCCTGCTCCCCTGGCAGTACTGAGAATCGAACCCAGGACTTCTCACATATAATCATATGTTCCATGTTGAGTCCACCCTCAGCCCCATTGCTTTTTTTTTTTTTTTTCTTGTCACCATCTAACATGAATCTATTCACTTGTTTATCCATCTCCTCTGCTCTGTTTCAGTTCCATGGTAACAAGACCTCATCTGTTTGTTTTTCCAAAACTGTATTTATTTATTTTCTGTGTATGTGTGTGGTAGGGCGGTACATGTGTGGAGGTCAGAGGACGACTTGCCGTAATTGGTTCTCTCCTTCAATCTCGTGGGTACCAGGGATTGAATTTAGGTCATCAGGCTTGACCACAAGCACCCTTACCTGCCGAGCCAGCCCACTGGTCCTCTTAACTAACTTTCTATTTGTTTATTTATTGGTTTTACTTGTTCTCTGTTTTTATTCATTTCTTATCATGCTTGAATATTTTTAATCAATATTACTAATTAAACTCTTCTTTGACAGTTTCACACACATATATGATACAAACTAGCCATCCTCGCCCCCGCTCTCCTATCTTCCCTGGCTACCACCCCCCACTCTGTTCTGACCTTCCTGTCCGTTTTGTTTTGTGATCCACTGAGGTTAACCAAGGCTTTGTGTGTGAACATAGGTTTTGAACTAGCCATTGGAACCTGGTGGACTTAGCAGTAGACACATAGTTGAAGACAATGACTCCCCATCTCCCAGAGTCTATCAGCAGCCAACAGTTCAGCAGTGAGGGGGTATGCCTCCCTCCTCTCCCCTCTTCCATCCATGCCTGACAGGCCAGTCCTGTGCAGGGCTCAGTGCAGGTGACTCCTCCATCTGGTTTTGTTAACTGGAGTAAGTTAACAAGTAAGTGCCCCAGAAATGTACTTGTTGGAATGCATTGAGCCATGGAGACTAGTGTGGTCCCTAGAATCTAAGCAGAGGAAATGGAGGCGCGGAGAGGTTGGGGGCCCCGCCCACTTGCTAACTCAGGACAGTCAAGTCTGAAGGTAGGAAAAGCCCCCCTGACACTGCCCACTGTCCCCCCACCCTGCCTTCAGCCACCATCAGATTCTTTTTTTTTTTTTTTTTTTGCCTGCATGAGGGTGCAGGGTCCCCTAGAACTGTAGGTACAGACAGTTATGAGCTGTCATGTAGGTGCTGGGAATTGAACCCAGGTCCTCGAGAAGAGCAGCCAGCGCTCCCAGCCACTGAGCCATCTCTCCAGCCCCAGATTCTTTTTTTTTTTTTTTTTTTTTTTTTTTTTTTTTTTTGGTTTTTCGAGACAGGGTTTCTCTGTGTAGCTTTGCGCCTTTCCTGACACTCACTTGGTAGTCCAGGCTGGCCTCGAACTCACAGAGATCCGCCTACCTCTGCCTCCCAAGTGCTGGGATTAAAGGCGTGCGCCACCACCGCCCGGCCAGCCCCAGATTCTTAAAGTGTATTATATTTATTAAGGATGTGGTGGGCATACGTGTAACGACCAGAGGACAACTTGTAGAAGCCGGTTCTCTCCTACCCATGAGTCCTGGGGGATCAGATTCGGCTCTTTTGTGTCCGGGCCCTTTCACCCACTAGGCCACCTCCCAGGCCCCACCATGGCGTTTTGATGAAACTTGTCACTGATGTCATTATCAGTAAGAACTCTGGCCCCATGTGGCGTCGGGGGCTACTTCAAGCAAGGCACAGTGGTGATGTGGGTCAGGATGGCTCCTGGCGATGCCGGGAGCTGGACTCTGGAGCAGTCATTTGTAGGCTTGTTAATTGCCCCTGAGGCCCTACAGACAGTTGAAAGCAGCTAGGGGACAGACTCTGAGGACCAGGTCTGTAGGATCTGAAAGGACTCTGCCCGGCGTGCTGTTCATGATGAGGGAGACGTAGGTCCTGGGCCCCCATTGACTCCTGCAGGGAGTCTTTCCTTGTTTCTCAGCTGCTCCCTGGGGTCTGGAGGTTAGGATGGGTCTAAAGAGGCCTGAGGACTGCCTGGCCTTGGGGTGA